GCTGATCATGGGCATGTGGTGCAAGTCCAGTCTGGTTTAACCAAGTGACAGATGGACCTTCTGAACTGGATCGCTGTCTGTAAATCTTTTATTCAATCAGACTGTCAATTAGAGTGTTTCGTCACTGATTGGCCGATCTGTGTCGCTGCAGGTGGAGGAGGAGCAGATGCTTGAAATGTGGGTGAAGGAGGAGACGTCGGCCACACGGACCAGCGTTCTGGAGAAGTGGACGCGCCTTCAGGGCATGCCTCAGCATCAGGCCATGCTGAAATACATGAGCATCATCAAGGAGTGGCCGGGATATGGATCCACTCTGTTTGATGTGGAGGTGAGAAAAACAGAAATAAAGGACTTGTGTGCAAAAGCCACAAACTTCCTGATTATTAACCTCTTACTTCCTTGCTCTCTTCTCTTTCTCTGAAGTGTAAGGAGGGAGGTTTCCCTCACGATCTGTGGCTGAGTGTGAGTGCAGACAATGTCTCTGTGTATAAACGAGGTGAACCAAAACCACTGGAGACCTTTCAGTACGAACACATCACCTTCTTTGGTGCGTCACAGCCCTGCACCTACAAGATCATCGTAGACGAGAGGGAGATGTTCTTTGAGACACCACTGGTGAGAGAGAGCCCTTCATTTAAAACTCATCTCTTTGAGGAGTGTTGATAAAGATTGCTTTCTTATTTGACATGTTTTGGTGAATGTAAAATTGGCAATCCAGACAAAGGGGATTTTTTTTTTTTTTTTGAGAAAAATGAATAGGTTGGGGATTGTGAGGCAAAATGCCTAAATTAATCAGGATATTGCCTCACAATACGTCACACTCTGTCCTATCTGACGTCAGTCCAATGTCAGGTTTGAAAAGTCCCAACTGTACACACTGTATTTAAAAAAATTAATTCCTCAGATGACCATTCCACCATTTTTTTTAGATTTGAGCTTCAGTTGACTCATCATAAAGAGTACCAGACTGTTGAAAAAAAAGTGTTTTTAAAGTCTGAGGAATGACCCTTGTTATGTCAAAGTGCCTGAACATTAGAGTTCAAAGGCATTTTTCTATATACAGTATGGGTCCAAATATTTGTGAAAGATTTGTATTTGGCTACCTAATTTTTCCACTCCAATTTTGGTAGGAAGTGTCCAGTGTTTTTTTTGTATCTGTCTAAACTCCTGATGTCAACATTCACAACCACCTCAGACCAGAGCCAGAGTTTGAACAGTCTGGCTCTCAATTTTTTTTTATGGCTAAATAACTATTTCTGTTGCATCGCTTGTAAACAATCAAGTGTAACACCACATATTTTTCACATGAGACTTAATGCCCGAATATAAAATATATTGTGCCGCCCCACTCACTCTGATTTTGTTTTGCCTTTAAGTGTGGCCAATCAGAAGATAGATATTAACACTCTGGGTTTCTATGGTTGGATATAATGTCATCAGAAGCACTGCCTTTTCAGAAATGTCATCAAATTGTTCACATAATCACACAAATGCAGATCAAGACACAAATGAACCAATCTACTTTTTCTCTCTCTCTGTTTCAAGGTCGGCGAGATCACAAAGATTATGAGGGCCTACATTAACATGATGGTGAAGAAACGCTGCAGCATCATGTCAGTGACCAGCATTGCCAGCTCCTATGTCAGGTGATCGCCAACAACCAGTCAGAGCCCTCGCTTTCTCCAGCAGTGACAGACGCCTCGGCCCTCCCGCCTTGGTTGGTTGGTTGGTTTCGATTGGAGGCAGTCGCAACAAACCAGCTAATCCTCAAGGCTGAATTTAAGGATGGTGGTGCGGAGGTAGAAGTGGACACAGACGCCAAGACGCACACTCTTCTGGCCTGGGTTTCACTCGGGATAAGGGATCTATTTAAAAATGAGCATGACGAAACAAATTCAGTATCTTGGGACGGTCCTTTTCAAATACATAAATAACACCCTCCAGTCGTAGTCCTGCATGTAGATGTTCAAGCACACTCCAGACCTCTCTCCGCTTTTACCTTTTCTGGACACAACAAGTAATAACAAGCACAAAACATCCGCCCAAATCTGTCCCCCTCTTTTACAACCCGATGCACTGCCAGACAGAAAAAAAAAAAAAGCCACACGCTCTCAGTTGTTTTGTTTTTCACTCCTCCAATCTCAGACTCTCTCTCTTTCTCTTCACGTGTCCTCACTCCTGTTTGCATCTTCGTTTTACGGTTTTAACGCTGAATTCTCGTTCTTTGCTTGTTTTTTTTCTCTCTCTGTCATTTATCGGTAACATCAGCTGTTTGTGACTGAGAAAAAGGACTCCGATGATGATGATGATGATGATGATGATGATGATGGTGGGGATGATTCTTCAGGGCTTTACTGACTGAGAATGAGCTCGGCTGCTCACCTGTCAGTGCCACCGTGTGGCCAAAAGAAGAAAATGCAGCCAAAAGGAAGTGGCTTTGAATATTTCTGAACAATATCAACTAGAAATGTGTAAGTAGAGGCTGAACTGTGGAGGCTCTCCGGTCATGTTTATCTTAAAAGTGGAGAGTCTGTTCAGCCTCAGAGGAGAGCATTATCAACCAGAACAGTATGAGACAAAAAAAAAACATTTCCCTATCTAAGTCAACATATACACACACTGCATATATCTACTGTATATTCACATACATGTACACTCTAACATGTATCGTTTTGTACTGTATATCACACATTATAAGAGTTATTATTGAATTTTTTTGGGTGGTCATTGCACTGTACAGTATATAGATGCCAATGTGACACCTCGTGTAAAATACATGCAAGTGAATGGCGTTGATAATGTCTGAATATGATGCCAATAATGTACATCGTTCACAGGCTGTGCCGTCGACGTGACTCACGGAGAATATGAGGATTTATAGTGAGAACATTTTGATGAATTGATCAGTGTTATGTGTGCGACTCACTCTGCAGCATTAATTGGAGCCATAAAATACTGTATACTTGTTTTTTTTAAACTCCTATTCTCACTCCTTTCTTTATCATTTAAGACTTGAAAAGTAACTCCTCTGAGAGTTTGTCTGTGTTTAAATCCTGTTTATGAACATGTGACTTTTAATACTGATACTGCTATAATAACTGTACACCCCCTGCTATCTTAACCACCCTGAAGTGCTGTGTCAGGAATGCTGCTTTGTGTGTGTGTGTGTGTGTGTGTGTGTGTGTGTGTGTATGAGTGTATTTATGGTGTAATCTGCTGTTGGTAAAAGAAATGGAAATGAGAAAAGAGAAGTGATTTTACTGAGTGTATTCCTCGGAGATGAGACGTATTTAAATGACTAACCTTTGCAAAGAATGGTGTTGTGATCGTGAGTTAACGCATGGGATTCTACAAGGGAGGGTTCTGGGTCATTTATTTATTATTGTACTGTATGTATTGCAAGGTGGGTTTGGAGGAAAATGTATTTAAAAAAAAATATATATAGACTGGATTTTCTTTTTCAGTCTCAGTGTAAGAGGAGCAGAAAAGACACTGTGAGGAAACGGGCTCAGAAATGGTTCAGTTGTGTGGTGGGGAATGCTGAGAGTCATTACTGCTTTGTGCGTCCATGTATGTGTGTGTGTGTGTGTGTGTTTGGACTAAAAGTGAAGTCACTGTAACGCCAATATCATCTGACTCTGTGGCACTGCAGGTAGATGGCAGCTTCCCTCATGTACAAAAACCTCTAGAGGATAAATAGACAAACAAAGTGCTTGGCTACATCCAGTAACCAGGAGGGATACTTTTTATAAAGCAAACAGTCCATTAATCAAACTGATGACACTTCATATGAAGTTACACACATCAACCATTAACTACAGCTGCATATCAAAAGATTATTTTCTATATGAATAAATCATTATAAAGCACAATTTAATGCCATATCTTGCAAAACTACTGTATATTCTACAATTACTAGGCCATTCCCAAAGACTTTTCCCCCCAATAACTTCCTATTCACTGCTTTATGATAGGGAGAAATGCACATGAATTACTATCTTAATGTGCTTTGTTTAAAAGGTGATAATACCACAAACTATGCAAAATGTATTGAGATGTAATCTATGTTCAAATAAGTACTTTCTTTAACAGTTAAAAAGGGAAATAAAAAAGGAGGTTATTGAGGGGAAAACTTGGCCTACTAGTTGAAACATAAAGTCACACAAAGTAAGAAGACATTAGGGATTTTTAAAAGCGTATACGCTGCTTAAATGACTGAAAAACTAAAAATGGTTAATGGCTCATTTATGTACCTTGATGTCGTGTTTTACGAGTTTATTTTATTTTGCTAAAGCTGCTAAACTAATATTGTGTCAATAATTATTAAATTAAAATATCTGGACCCCCCAAAATATAGGTTCTGCTGCTTTTCATGCCAGATATTCAAGAGAGGTTGAACTTAAGGTGAAAGCGTCTGTTGTCTATCTGCAGTGCCACATACAAGGACGTAACGATCATCTCGAGACGCACTGAGGTCGTGAGTACAAGTGGGTTTATGACACCAAGGAAATTATGTTTTTATTTGGACTCCTCATGCGTATTTATGTTGCCTGAAAGTTTATTCCCTTAATGGTCTGAGATGTTCTTCAGGTCCAGCATTTCATTGAGGAAATAGCAAATAATTGATGTACTTGGCCTGTAAGTGTTAAAAATCTAAATGTATATTTAGTCTGACAAATCCTGGAATCAGCCATTATAAACTCATTTGTCTCCTGGTAAAAAAAGAGCGGACTTCCTTGGATCATAACACATAGAACCTGACCTCAGTGGCTTCAATGGTATTTACGTCTGCATACACACAGCCCTCTGGGATCCTGCCTATAGAGTTAGAGTAAGCAGAACTCACACACAGGTTCCAGTTTGAACTTTTGTTTATTTTTTTTATTTTTTTGCCAAAATAAGTGAAGCAACCCGTAAGCCATACTTACAGAGGAACCTGGAGCTGTCTGTTCTAGTTATTCTACATCTATGGTTCTGTCTGTCACTGATATTACACTGAGTGGGAAGAAGAAGTTACCCGATAGAAGCTGAAATGTGATCGCTGTGTTTGCAAAACAGAAACATGAGTTTAGAGTAAGATTTTGCAGCACGTGATCACAAATCCGTCTCTAAGGTCAGCTTCATCACAAGGGGTCCTGTAATCAGCCGCAGGCGGCCAGAGTGGGGCCCGTTCGTATCTTCTGTTATGCTTATTATTATCATCATTACACTGTAAAACATAGTGCTTGTTTGAAGAAAAAAAAAGAGAAAGAGAGAGATATGTGTGTTGTTCTTTTTTTATTTGTAACTGGCTTTACAAAATTATGCTTTAATAAATTATTGGAATTATTGTCCTCTATTTGACGTTGTGTTTCTGAACTTATTTGGACTACAAACATGGTGGGAAGTCATTTAGTATATTTATTTATGTAGCTGCTTTGAGGTAGACATTTAGATTTCTTTGTACTTGTGGTTGCCCCTCTACATTTCAGGATATTTGAAGGCTAAATTTACTTTTAATTCCACTGTGTTAATTCCACAGCTTTACTTTAGGTTGGATAGATAGGAATAGAACACATTTGACATACTTGTACTTTTGAGTATTTAAAGTTAAAGGGCACATATTATGCAAAATACACTTGAACATGTTCTTCTAACACTGAAATGCGTCTGTAGTCTGTCTACAAACCCTCCAATAATGAGAAGTCAATCCTCTCCGTCTTTTGCCTGCTCCACTTTTCAGAAAATTAGTGCTCAAACAGGCCATTTGGAAATTTTCCCTTCATGACATCACAAAGGGCAGTAACCCCGTCCCCCAGGTGGGTGACCCTCCAACAGCTAGGTGTTTGTTCTGCCCTCTGAGTCTGCCTTCTTACTGTATACACTTGGTCATAGTGCAAGAAAGCCCAAGGCACCCAAGCCCTTAGAGAGGGGGCGTGGTCAGACACAGCTCATTTACATTTAAAGCTACAGACACAGAAACAGCCTGTTCTGAGCAGGGCTGAAATAGAGGGGTTTATAGGCATGATCAAATACAGGATCAGAGTGGATTTTTTGCAGAAACTTCAGACAGAGTTTTGGGGAGCTCTGAGACTTATTGAAAAGGAGGATAACACATTGACTTCACTATATATGTACATGGAACTTTTTGGTCTGGTAAATTTCCCCAAAAGCAATAGTTTGAACTTAATTGTAAGATTTAACTTGATAATACTCTTCCTGTTGCTCCATTTTCTCATAATTTGAAGGATTAGGCGTCTCTGGGTCGAGTCATTAGTCTTAATTCTTAACTGAATTAACCATTTAAAATCCTTCTTGTATAATTTGAAGAATTCAATGTGACAACATTGAAATTGATCTTCTTCTCTCATCCATGAACTTCTTTACAAACATGGTTCTCACATAACAGCAACTACACAAAACTATTACCTTAAGTCGCCTGAATGAACTACACCAGAAAAAAGTCAAATACACACAAATCTAGCATAAGTTCATTTGAATCTATAAACATATTTTCTTTTAAATTGCAGGGTGATAAGGCCTACACCAATGTACCTTATTGTAAAGTGTTAAAAAAATAGCCTCTGCTAAATAACTGAAATGCTTCTGAGAGATTTTATCAGTGACAAATCAGAGAGTTTTGAAGTTAAGACTCTTGATAAATCAAATATGGATTTTCTGCAAGAGCACTTTTACATTTAAAAAAAAAGAAGATTGTTTTACTTCTGTTTCCCCCCCATTACGGATATTTTTGAATGCAACACTGTTCATGCCATAATTCGCGTTGTTGTTTTGGCATGTTAATTTCCGTAAAGTATTTCGCAGAAAACAATTCACCCAGACGCACAAACCAAACACGCCTTCTCCTCCTTTGTCTCCGGTGCGTAAGAAGCGTGCGTCAGTCAGGACTCGAGCGTTTGCTTCCCTCAAAGCTCACTTTTCGAGTTTTATCTGTCGACCAGAGCAGCCGAAACAATAACTTCTCTTTCTAACACAAAACACCAGGAATAGTCTTGAGTGCTTGGTACGATGGATTCGCGGATTTTACTCCCTGCTCTCCTGCTCGTCTTCGGGTTGGCTACAGTTTTGGCTCAGACTGCCGCACCTGGAATAGGTAAGAGCTGAAAACACAAGAGGCTCTGAGGTGACTGAGGAATTAATGGCTGCTTAAAAAAAAAAAAAAAAAACACTCCCTTTCATGTAACCGCGTTTTGAGCTACGTCATTAGTTTGAATAAGTCCTCGGCAGGTTTATGAAGACACAAAATCACTTAAATGTGACATACTGAGACTTTTCTTTGACCATGTTTTTTATTTATGTGATATTTAGGACAGTTTTGAGTTAGCTCTCTTGTGTCTTACAATTTATTTGAAGTATTAGAGGTGGAAAAACAAATCAGGTACTCCTTAAATCTGTATTTGACCTGTGTAAAACATGATTTCTCTGTTTGTACTGTTTGGTTTAAGTTGAGGTAAATCAAAGGCAGAAGCTGCTTTTTCATCTCATTTAATTGTAGCCTAAAAAGAAGACAAAACAGTGTTTTCTTAACGAGTCTTTGTGTGTGTTTAAAACCCTCTCAGCTGGAACAGAATGAGTCTATTTTCAGGTCAGGTCCCAGGTCAGGTCTTCAATTGTTCCACATTAAAGAAACTAGCAGGAGTAGCTACAAACAAACCTCAAACCTTATTGTACATATGAGGAAACACGTCCACAGAAACCTGGCTGTTGTTCAGTCAGCTGATGAAAACATGGCTGTTCTCAGACCTGTGTGTGTTTACTGCTCTGTGTCTCCATGGAGGGGAAAGAAAAGTCCCAGGAGGATTAGCAGTAGTTACAAAAAAGCACAGTGAGCACACACCTGCTGCAGGCCTCATTAATCTAACACTTAATCGGCTAATCTTTCTAAAATAACACTCCCTTATTCTTCTCTCTTGCGAGGCCAAAATGTTCAAGCCTCTGACTGAGTATTTGTGGATTAGCTTGTGAAAACTAAATCTAATGTTTCCAACAGCGTGTGAGACAAAGAACGGGACGAGCTGTGATGAGTGTTTGAAGAATGTGACGGTGAGAGAAAACATTTTGTTCCTCTTGATTTTCAGTATTCGGTGTGTGTAGTTGGTGTAAGAAGTGTCGAATAGTCCCCCAGTTCCTCCTCCTCCTCCTCACCTGTTAGACTGGTTTGAGCAGTAACAGCTCTGTCATCCATTCCCTCCTTCCTCCTACTCCTCTTACCTTTTCTTCTTATTGTGTGTTTGTGTATGTCCTACATTTGCCTTGAATACCGCGCGGAGTCATTTGTTTGTTAAATGATAAAGAGGTCATTGTATGTTTTTCGTATGTCTACAGTGCTTGTGGTGTATCAAAACAAAGTCATGTGTCACTTATCCAGTGAGGACGATCCTTCCTCCGCATGCTCTCTGTCCACTGAGTGAAGCTCGCTGGGGGCTCTGCTGGAGTAAGAGTGCACACACACACACAGATGTCAATCTGATGTTTATTTGCATATCAAATAAACACAATAATACATAAAGGTATTTGCACTCAACGACATGAACTTATCACAATTTACTATTCGTTTAGATATGAATTATTATTATCTTTAGGTAAATCAAAGCTTTTTCAGTAGAGGTAGCAAACATACAGCTTCTTTTTAAAAGCAAAGTTAAAAATATATCATGTAATTAAAGCTGATTAATGTGAGGAATGTAAGTAATTATGTAATTGAGAACATTTTTACTTCATCGCTGGACAATACAGTGATTAATAAGTTCTGAATTTGTCCCACCCTCACTGCTTTAATTCACTTTGATTAATACTTGCATTGTTTTACTTGCACTAACAGCACTAAGTGTTTCATTTTACAACAGGTCATACTCAGTTTTCTGTGAATAAGGACTACACATCTGTGAGACTGTGATTAAACTGCTTCATAGGTTATGAGAAAATCAATCACAATATATAAACTCAACATCACTTATTTTAACATGCCCTAAAAAAAAACTTAAATTAATAGGCTGGGCTGTTATTTACTTCAGTCTGTAAAAATGACCCTGCCTTTAATGGGGACAGGCGTCAACACTTTTTTATTTATTTATTTATTTATTTATTTGTATTTATTTTACAGGAAACGATTAACAGGACAATTTCAAAAGTTACAGTTAAACGAGTCTGACTCGGTCAAAAACTGGTTTACAGCAGGTTCTTGTTCTGCAGCACATCAAAACGAAGATCAATTCAGACAAAAGACACGACCGACATCAGACTTAACAGCAACACAGACACTCAGAGACGAACACAACTTGTGCACAGCAAAGATTGGAAAGACTATACTATTGTACATTTCCACCAGATAGAATATTTAAATGTGTCCTCATTTGTTTGATTTAAAAATCACTGATTTGGTCTTACTCTGTCAGACATACCAACCTGCTGCACTGTGGGGGAGAGAGGGAGACACCCTTATTATTATATTTTGGATCCACAAACTTATCAACACTAAATGCATCGGGGCCTCTAATGAGACCTTCCTTATTTATCGGATCATGCAGCAACACCAAGCTATAAAAGGGACTCAGGCTTTAACTGGGATGGGCTTTTGTTTCAGGTTTTACAGTAAAAACATTACTCTCATTCTCCGCTGCAGAAACACTGATCCATGCATATATCACATCCAGACTTGATTACTGTAATAGTATCCTTTACAGCACATCATCCAAAGTCCTCAATAAACTCCAATACATCCAGAACTCTGCTGCACGCCTTTCTCAACCACACTCGATCCCCCTGAACACATCACCCCTGTCCTGCAAAATCTCCCCGTCCCTGTCCCATACCACATCCAGTTTAAAATCCTGTTCCTCACACATAAAGCCCTCAACCACCAGGCCCCCTCTTACCTCACTGTTCTCCTCCACCGTCACACTCCTTCACATATTCAACACATATTTACATCACAACAAAGTAACCGGTTAACCTCGGTGGCCTTACTATAATAGAAGTAAACATTAGAATTATGATGTTATGAATAGTTGAGGACAGAGGTAGAACATGTATGTTTCCTTTGTGAAGAATAACTATGTCCCTGTGTCCTGTGTCTCCGTCTGCAGTGAATTTCCAGGCTTTGATAATCACCTTGGCAGTGATCGGTGGAATCATCATCATCGCCTTCCTCATCTGCCTGTTCTGCTGCTGCAAGTGTGAGAACGCCGGGTGAGTGGTCGACAAAAAGGCTCCTAGTAACTCGGAAAACATTCAACGTTCCTTCTTCTTAACACCAGGCTGATGCATCAGTTTTTACTCTGAGCTGAGAGGAATTAAGTTTCATGTCTTCTTAACAACACGATCACAATATAAAGAATTAAAGGAGGATATCTTCTTTATTTTAAGTTACTTGGTGCTATAGTATACGGCAGCTGTATTTAAAAATCCAGATAAACCAATGAGCTTAAATTAAAGGAAATATCTGAGTTGACTTATTATATCTTGTTGCTAAAGGACTTTATACTCTTAACAGTATTTTCTGTTACTGTACCTTTAGTTTTCTAGCTTCTCTAATTAAACAAAAAGCATGAAAAATAACAATGTACACACTTACACTCATTATATAAAATTACTAGACTTTTCTCCAACATGCTAATTATCCTAAAACCAAACATTTAAATAGAAATAGAAACATTTCTCCAGTACGGTATTTAAAAAAATAAGGTTATATGTTCACTTGTCAACTGTGAGCTCATCTCTCCCACTCCACTCCTTGTATTCATGTTTTATAAATAACTCTGATGTGCATGCAGCAGGTTGCGTAATGGTTTTTGGAGTTCTTTTCATAGAGAAAGAAACTACAAAAAAACTAAAGAAAATCTATTAACTCAAACAGTTTTAGTGAAACATTTTAGTGATTTCACACTGCAGGAACCATGAACTATTTTAAGTTCCTGGAGCCCATTTTGAGGAACCTTTTTAGCTCTTACTTCAGAGTGGGTACTCTCCCTGTTCCATGGCGGTGCGAATGATGACAGACAAAAAGCCCCATGGTGAGAAGGTCTCAGGGAACTCCCTAGTGGATAGTTTCTCCTCAAAAAGTCCCTGGAACTGTTCGGTCCTTAAACACCTCATGGTGCATCCGTCCAGGTCGATGAGTTTAAAATTGTCTTAAAATGGAAATGTGACATTTAAAGTATTTTTTTCTAGTTTTGTTAAATTGTCTTTGGTTTTAAATGTTTGGTTTGTCATTCTGTCGGGACTTTCCTCATTACTTGTGTTCAGAATATCGGCCTGGAGCTAAACCCGTCGAGCATACTGTGTATTATGTTGAGAAATTCCAGTCTCACCACGTGCACATAATGCTCACATTTTTTTCAGCTTTTGTGTGATTACCTGCTCTTGTAACACACACTGTGAAAAATATCCACGACCTTTCTCACTGCAATCTAAACTCTGGTCCTGTGTTGTTGTTGTTTTTTTGTGTCAGATCCAAAAGGTTCGAGGACAAGATGCAGAGGCAGGCCAATAAGACGAAAACCAAGCAGGAAGAGAGGTACGAAACTGTGTTGTGTGAATTTGACATGGAGTGTTATGCAGGCGGGACCTTGCGGGTGTGTACTCTCTGATATATCTGCAGCAATAGTTTGAACAGAAGAGCAAACAAACGTTTTAAGAGACAGCGTTCTTATCTTCCAGTAAACTCAAACGCTCAACTCGGACTGAGACGACGTGAGCTGAGTAATTTAACGCTGACGTGAATGACGGGACATGTAATCCAGTTTACACAACTTTAATAAAACAAGTTGGAAATGACATGATCACTGGGTAGAATAACTGCTGTATGTGATCCCCTGCTGACTGAAAGTGATGTCACACTTTTAAAGGCAGCATATGCAATCCAATAAATAAATAATCCACTATATCATGGTATTAATCAGGCCTCTGTACACCGTCTACAACTTGTTCTGACAGCAGCCAGACTCCTTAGCAGATACAAAAAAAACAATTAATCGTATTACACCTTTTATTAGCATTCTTACACTGGCTCCCAGTTCAGTAAATAATCCCATTCCAAATTATATTGTTTGTGTTGAAAGGTCTTGATCCAAGATACATCCTCGAACTCTGATCACCATACAGTACAGCTAGCCCCCTTCAGATCAGCAGATCAAGGACTATCAACTGTCCTACAGGCACATGGAAAACTTCTCGGAGACAGGGCCTTCTCTGTAGCCGCATCGAGAATGTGGAACAAGCTGCCGTCACATTTAAGATCAGCAGATTGTCTGGACTTTGAAATGGTGTTAATACGTCCTTCATTTCTATTTAGTCCATTGTATTAAGCCTGCTGTAAAGCACCTTGGTACAAACCCTGTTTGTTCTTAAACACTATATAAAGAAACTTGACCTTGACCTTGGCATATATCGCAGATGCTAGCTCTAATTGTAGTGTTCAGGATAGTCTCTAAACTCGTCTTAATATGCGAGTTGGTTAGGTGATTTACAATCTACAGGACACCAAACGCACCGCCTGCCCCGGTTACATTGATAGTGATAATCCATATCAGTTTATTTCGTCGCACATCATACAAAGCATACCAAAGGGGAAATGTGTCCACGTCAAACTGTTATCTGCCCAAACTGGTTTGTGGGAATATTTTCAAAGAATAGAAATATAATCAGTCCCTGTGGTGCTCAGAAGAGAATGTTTTGTTCTTTCAGGAAATCAGAGATGAAACAGAGACACGAGGAAATCAGGAAGAAATATGGTGAGCACTCTGACACAGGATTCTCTTTATTTCTCTCTCTATCCCTCGGTGTGTGTATGTGAGTTAAGACAATAACAACAAATAGCTCATGTTCCTTTGAAAGGAAAGATACGCTTTGGCTTCTGGACTTGATGAATTCACTACAAACGTGATGTTTAGCTTTCTTTTTTTTTTTTGCTCTGAACTTGAAAACATAAAGAAGTAGTAGACGTTTGGGAAATGCTCCTTTAGCTCTTTGCAAAAGGTTAAAGCAGAAGAAGGATCCCCCTGTTTATTTTTAAACAAGATATCATGTCATTCCCCATTGTGGGATTAATAAACTATTTCTTCTTCTTTCTGCAGGTCTAAGTGGGCAGAATCAATACTCCAAATTTGCATGAGAGGGATCTGTGAACTGAGATTTTTATGGTAACTCTTTCGCTCTCCTGACAACCTGTTTCGAGTTCAGTGTACCCGACTTCTGAGGATTACTGCAATATTAGAACAAGTGAAAGTAGTTTTGTACAGTGTTTGGCTTTATCCAGCTAATGAAAATGAATGTTATGTTCAATGTGATGATCCAAGAAGATGTAAATAAAGGCTAGAATCGACGCATGTAGCAGCAGTGTTATGTCAGAACTCAATCGATCCTGTGGCTCCTAAAGCATCAAATATTTATTTTAACAAGTCTAATGTTTTCTTGTGTAGGAGAGAGACTCCACTTTGGTGACAGACATATTTCCCCTTGTTCTTAAATCTCCAGATTTCTAGATTCATTTTTCCTCCTGACATGTTACTGATTATGAGATGAAGCTGGAAAACTATATTTTGTATTAACTTCTCTTCAAACTGACACAATCCTTTTCTGAAACCCTTTTTTTTTCAGAGACAATCTGTATAGTGTAAGTGCTATTTATTCCACTTAAAGGAATGCTTTTATGGGCTACTTGGGAGTAAATAATTTCCTCACAGCTTCAGTCTAAAGTCATGATTTAATATTTACAGAAGTTAGTCTGCCTATTCTACATTTGCCTGTTTTTCATGTGAGGATACGTCCGCCTAATACGAGATGTTTGACTTCTAAATACCTATTCAGTGGAGTTGGTATTTTGTTTATATTCTGCATTAAAGTTTCATGACAAATAAAATTAATTGATTTCAAATGTAATTGGCTCCTACCGTCTGAAGTCCACCACTTGGAGAAGTTAAAATGTGCAACATGTCACCATAAGAGGAGGGCGGCCGACATCTACTGACTGAAGAAAAGTTTAGTCCACTTTTGGTGTTTTGGGGTATAAATCAGGAATTTGATGAATATATTAAGGTTTTTATCATAAGTTAAATGTGATATCAGAACAAATATGTTTAATGGTTACTCAGCAGCGATGCTTAATTACATTAAAATAAATATTTACATGCATGTTGACATTGCTGACTGGCAAATCCCTTAAAATAAATTCACGTGTCTGCAGGAATATTTAAGGCATTTTGAGTAACATTTTTCTGAATGCAACAGAAACAACAGTTATGAAGGCGTTAACAAAATTCAATATTGCAGAATAATAAAATGTTCATTATATTGAACTCTGTTAACAATACTTCACTACAACAATTTAAATACAACAGAATACATGTTAGCACACAAGCCACCAGCTTCAGGGAAAGCTAATATTCAGCAAGGTATGTCAGTCTGCTTCCCTTACCTTTACTTTATAAGCACAGGATTTAAGTATTTATTTTGGCATAAAGAAGACAAAGATAGCTAACATGTATATAGCAAAAAACCTGCAAGGCAAGAATGAGAAGAACATCTGAGAGCAACTCAGTAGGCTAACCAAAACCGCAAATGAAGTAAGGCTACTGATGAAATTGTTTTATTGTTTTATCTATGTTTATTGTGATTAGGCTGTATTTGTGGTTTCTGTGGGGGTTGTTGTTTGATTTGTAAGAGCATTAAAGTTAAACTGAACCTCAGAAGAATATATTGTATGAACATATTTGGTACATTCTGCCTGCAGCATTAGTAGTAGTTTGTGTGACTTGATTTAATCATCATCATCATCATCAACTTTTATTATTATTACACTCAAGATCCATTTTAAAAGACATACAATACAAAAAATAGACAACACACATATACATTACAATAAAAACATCCCCGCCTCTTATAAAAGGCACTTATACCAATGTCTCCAAAGGTATGATTGGTAGCGTACTGCACTATAACTTGAGTTCGACAGCAGCATTATAATTACATTCTCTGTTATAATTACATGTTATATTGTGTGAATATTTATCATGAATGAATACAATGAACAGATTGTGTAATTTTGTTTATTTTGACAGGGACCATGTACAGCCAATTATCTGTAACATCTGTAGCCTACGGTGGCTGGGCAGTGCAAAGCAAAATTAGAAAGTGTTAAACACTTTTACAAAATGTGTTACAAATTTACATTTTGAAAAACATTTTTACATTTTATGAAACAAAATTACAAAACCAAAAACACTCACCGAGGACAAAACAAATTTACAAAGATGTGAAACACTTGTACAAACGCTGAGACAAATTTACTAAGAGGCAGAACACTTTTACCAGCCCCCCAAAACAAATTTACAATTTACAGAATCTCGATGGAAAGGGGAATGTACCACGACAAAAACAACACAAAACAAAATGACCCCTCACTCGATCACTTCCAGGTCACTTCCGACATTCGGTACATTCCCATTTTTGTCAAGATTCTGTCGTTTGTAAATTTCTCTCATCGATTGTAAAAGTGTTTCACATCTTGTAAATTTGTTTTATAAAATGTAAATGTGTTTTTCAAAATGTAAACTTATCTCACATTTGTAATTTTGCTTTGCACTTTCCAGCCCCCGTAGTAGTCCCTTTGTTTGCAGTGTCTTTAAAAGCATTTTGTTATCTATAAGCTCATTTACATCTGTAGTCTACGGTGGCATGGAAGTGCAAAGCAAAATTACAAATGTGAGATAAGTTTACATTTTGAAAAACACGTTTACATTTTATAAAACAAATTTACAAGATGTGAAACACTTTTACATTTTATAAAACATCTTTGTAAATTTGTTTTGTCCTTAGTGAGTGTTTTTGGTTTTTGTCATTTTGTTTCATAAGATGTAAAAATGTTTTTCAAAATGTAAATTTGTAACACGTTTTGTAAAAGTGTTTAACACTTTGTAATTTTGCTTCGCACTTTCCAGCCCCCGTAGTAGTCCCTTTGTTTGCAGTGTCTTTAAAAGTATTTTGTTATCTATAAGCTCATTTACATCTGTAGTCTACGGTGGCTGGGAAGTGCAAAGCAAAATTACAAAGTGTTAAACACTTTTACAAAACGTGTTACAAATTTACATTTTGAAAAACATTTTTTACATTTTATGAAACAAAATTACAAAAACCAAAAACACTCACTAAGGACAAAACAAATTTACAAAGATGTTTTATAAAATGTAAAAGTGTTTCACATCTTGTAAATTTGTTTTATAAAATGTAAATGTGTTTTTCAAAATGTAAACTTATCTCACATTTGTAATTTTGCTTTGCACTTCCATGCCACCGTATAGTAGCCCCCCTTTGTTTGCAGCGTCTTTAAAAGTATTTTGGAGGTTTTGATATTTTAAGCGTGAGCGAGTATTTTTTTTTTTTTTGCATGGCTGCGCGCTCCCGTGTCCGCGCTCCCGCGATTTTTTTTCAGTCACATGACCCCTGCGAGAGCCAATCGTTCGTTTTTTGCAACAGCGGTCCAAAGCGCGCACCCGTCAGCGGCGGAGAGGAGAGGACTGAAGGCGGCAGAAAGACGAATAAACCCCAATTAACCGATTTTTTTTCCCCCCCCTGAACGTCCCGCTCACCAAACACAACCAAGATGTCAGAGGAAAAGCCAAAGGTAAGACAAGAAGCTGTGTTGAGCTGCGGCTTTGTAGCGATGGCTGAGTTTGTGCAATCTTAAAAATGGCCTGGAGGGTTTTTGCACGTTTCTCCAAAAACGGCGCAGTGTTTGTTTCGCAAATGAATGAGTACAAACCCGCACACACACACACATTCACACTTTAACCGCTCACTAATCACTCGTTATGATGTCGCAAGATGAGTTTAACCGGATCCCTCGACGACTGGGAGCTTAAAAATGCCAATTACATCATGATTGTCATTTGCGGATTTTTTTTTTTCTCTCTCTTTGTCGAAACTGGACCACGTTACGTCCGCAACGCCGAGAAATGCCGCAACTTACAGCAGGGGCAAATGAGCGCAAACAAAAGTGACGCACTCGTTACGAATGTGTGACCAGCCGCCTTGTTTTCATGTGTTTTTTATTTTATTTTATTGTGTCATTGTGGTTTTTTTTTCTTCTCTTTTCTTGCGACAGCACAACAAAACAACAACAGCTAGCAGCAGCGCTAGCCGGGCAGCTAACGCTAAACTGCATTGCTTTGCACGGGCTGGCGTGCTAACCAGCTAGCCTGGAGCTAACAATGCTAATGTTAGCGTGTGAGACTTTCCCCTGCAAAAAAAAAACAAAAAAAAAACACGTTGTAGTAAGGCCCAGTTGTTTAGAGTAATGTAAGCAAAGTGCAAACACCGTCGTTTTTTGTGAAGTTTCAGGTTATAATTGTGCAAGCAGGCTGGTGACTTACCTTTTTTTTTTTTTTTAATGGTGCATCTCTTTGCTCTTTCATTGTCGTGCAGTGTTATCTGTGACTGTAGGGTAAACTCTGCAGTCTGTTCTGTGGAAACTTAAACTGGTTGATGGGACACCCTCTTCTTGTCTCTGCAGGAGGGAGTAAAGACAGAGAACGACCACATCAACCTGAAGGTGGCAGGGCAGGACGGGTCAGTGGTCCAGTTCAAAATCAAAAGACACACACCCCTCAGCAAACTAATGAAGGCGTACTGTGAACGACAGGTGAGACTGCTTTCCCCCCGTTCCTCCGCTCCCAACAGCGTTCAGTTACCTGGGATTTGCCGTGAACACCTCCCAACACGTCCCCGTTAATTGCACGCTTCACCTTGCCGTTTGGCACTGTAAGGTTCTGACACGCGATGGATTACATCTTTTGTCTGTTGTGTCACTCTGGCAGGGTCTCGCAATAAGGCAGATAAGGTTCAGGTTCGATGGTCAGCCCATCAACGAGACGGACACACCTGCACAGGTAAGATACTGTTATATTTCATACAAATGTCAAGACAGTGATCCTTTTTTTTTTTTTAAATTCTGATTTCACACCTGGGACGTCTGTTTTCATTGTAGAAGAGGGTCCCGTTTATTTAACATTAACGGCACGACTTGGGCAAATCCTTTTTTTTCAATCCTACCTTCCATTCCACCTGTTCAGTTTTTGTTCTCGTCCACTAACTGGAGCCTCTTTCGCTGTGCCTCTTTCAGCTGGAGATGGAAGATGAAGACACCATAGACGTATTCCAGCAGCAGACAGGCGGGCTCTGCTAGGCCCTTCCCCATCTCATTGACGGCCACCCTCAGACTACACCCTCAACCCCCTTCACTACCCCTCCCCTTCCCATCACTCCTTTCAGCCTATTATTATTATTATTATTATTATTATTATTAATATTATTATTATTTCTCCCCTTTAAAGATGTCTGTTATGGTTTCTCGTCAGGTGTATGGGGGGGGGGGAGGCGGGGTGGGAGGGGCTCCTCAGCTGTTTATATTCTGTCTCAGCAAGGACTGAACTTTTGTGAGCTTCAACAGTCTCTGTGCTGGCCAATCAGGACATCATTTCCTTCTGCCACCGCAGGCTGTGATTGGACCACCGTCGCGTCACAGCGCTTCCTGGTTTGTCAGTACTTCTCGTACGCTCTCCAGTGAAATCTTAGTATCTAGTAGTTTGTCACGGTTTTGCATCCATCAGGGTCGAATGCTGGGCTCTTAAAGATTTTTTTTTTTTCCCGGGTTCACAGTCGGTGGGCAAGAAATGTTTTGAAGGGGAAGCACTATCTGAACTTACACGCCCACCTTTCATTTCACCTCGCTTTCTTTTGTGTATGTTTTTTTTTTTTTTTGTCCGAGCGGTGACTTCTGCTCCTCTGTCAAAATGTATTTTAATTCTCTACATTTTAGGTGCTTTTGCTTAAGAGTTCTGCAATGTTTTTGTAATTTTTTTTGATTCTTCTTTTAAGAATGAACAACCAGGGGGCTTGTTGCTTTTTCTTTTTTTTTTTTGCCTGTACAGAAGTATCAGAGTGGATGTTAGATAAATGTTGTGGGGCTTGGACCAATACTCCAAAGACAGAACTTCTGTTTCATATTTCATGATGGATCACTTTGAAAGCAAACGATCATGTCGTATATTAAGGGAGTTTTTATTTCATCAATGTTATTTGCTTCCTGTTTGACTTCATATTGATAGAAGTTCACTGTGGGTATCTGGTACACACTACTATTCAGTCATCCAGATGAAGCCTGTGTTTTTTAGGGAAATGTAATCAAAACCATTAAGCTGCATCCTTTTTTTTTTCTGGACTTGATTTGGTTCTTGCTAAAGAGAGCCACTCGACATGGAAACCATAACAATTTATTTCCCCCTCCTGTTTTCAATTGAAGCCGGCCACAGCCTGGTCCCTTTTGGTTTTTTCACAAGCAGCTGTGCTTGTGGGGTTATCAATGTGGGATGAAGTACTGGGTGGCCTGTAGGGGCAAATAACTGGAAGCGTGTTCCTTGATGCTGTTTTGGGGTCAGCTCTCTCATCTTTGTGATGTCCTCACGAATGTAGGCTTATTCTAGATGTGTTTTAAAGAGGAACGGCTTCCAGTTTGAGCAAAGATATCCACTAAAGTTGGTATGTTCTTTTTTTTGTTTTTTTTTTATGCAACACTGCTGTATATCAACTGTCCAGCTCCTAACTTGTGTGTAAAAAAATAAATAATAATAACAGGCCATTTCTTTTAAAAAGCAGTGGAGCCATCCAAAGTGGTGATGAGTGTTTCCAATATTTTACAATTTTGGAGATGGATGCATGCGGTGTGTTGCATTTCAGGAGGGCAGGGAGGCCAAACGATGGCGTTTGGGAGCTGAGTGTTCTGTACCCACAGGGCCCCGTTCTTCGTACCCAGATAACCGAGTTGGCTTGATTGATTGTTGATGTCTTGGCAAGGGCTTCGGTTTTTCACATGAGTCAGGATTAAAATGTATCTTGTTGAAGCAGAAAGTGTTTGTCCCTTTTAACCTGCAGAAGAAGCAAGGTCAAGTTCAACCATTTTAATTTACAGACAGATGAGGCTACACCTTTCCAACACAGGCAATCATGTTTTAAAGTTCAACTAAATAAATGCAATTCCATACAACCTTTCTCACATTGAGGTCTTAAAATGAAGCAACATCATGCATTTGTAATTCACCTTGTTCATTTTGATGATCTTATTCTCCCTTAATATGTAAGATCTGTTCCCGTAACCTTAAGTGAACTTGACAGGTAACCTTCATCATGTGTTTTCAGCTTTATCATGTACGCCTTCTAGATCTTCTAAACATTTATAGATCAAGTTTCACTTCTTGGGAGTCATTTTTCTTTTCTGACTAAACAAGAGCACACAGTTATGAAGGCATTTGAAGAAGCTAATCAAAGATCTTTTTTTGAGCTAGCTGAAGTACAAGCTTAACTTTGTAACGTACGGAGAACGGGGTCCAGGTCTTGTCATGTTATTTGTTGCTCTACTGATTTGTACATTATTTGTGGTCTTTTACTACTGTATACAATAAATATAGTTTGGTACTCAGATTTGCCGTCATGAGTCATTATGTTGACTGTGTTTACCAATGGATACAGAAGGGAATGTTTATTTTAATAAGTAAAGGAATACTTGTTAAAAAAACATTAATCTGTTACTTTTATATCACAGCTACAAACATAACATCACCCAGTGCCACATAATTTAAAGGCTTAAGGTCAGGATATAACATACTGACGCCCAAAGTGGACATGCATCTTTTGGTTTCATTTATTCCGTTTTCTACAGACTGTAAATATTAAGGTTTCCTCAAGTAAATAAGTAATTTTGGCTTGGTTCCTCAAGCTCTCTTCCCTGTATCCCCAGAGTTACAAAAGCACAAGACATACCTTAACTTACGGCATGACGACCAGCCTTTATGTTTTTTTAGATTTGCAGCAAATGATCCTGTTAACATGAGAAAATAAGATGTTATCTTACGATACTGAGATAAATTAATTTGTTGAAGTGGTTAAAAAAGCTTTGTTATCCAGGGAAAACAAAATCTGGATCTCGAGAAAATAACTCAAATGTCCTTGTCGTGTATAAAAACAAAAACCTGCATTGTTATCTCAAGATAACTAAGTCGATGTCTTAGAAAACAACATGATATTGGCCTTCTTGTTATCATGAAAAAAATGGACTAAATAAAATGTGTTGATGCATGTCCACTCAGGGCTTCCATAGATTGTGTGCTTTGGGAAAAATACTATAGGTCCACATTATTGTAGCACTAAAAAGAATACTAAGCATGAACAAACTTTGCATGAAAGAAAACGTCATGCTTGTTTTAAATACATTCCTGTAAATCACTGCTGCCTGCTATTCTTAAAGTTCTGTCTCTTGTTGGTACATTGCAATCAAAAGAAACATATACTGTCCTATATACAGTTTATATATATCTACAGTAGATTCACTGTGTGTGCAAGTACAGTAGCAAGTGTTGCATAAATAAAACTGACAGCTAGGTGGTGCCAATGAGTTATATCTACCACATGTACAGTATATGGTCTGGGTTATATTATGACATAAAAGCACCTACATATAACACAATTATTTAAATGAATATTAACAATTTCAGAGTAAATTCAGCATGAAACAAAACAAAGCCAAAAAGAAAACACTTCTACAAGTTTGTACTTAAAGTTAAAGCAAGCCACTGCGGATACAAACTCCTTAATGTAAATTTACTCACCGTTATTTTTCTTTTCCTATTGGCTCCTGAAACACAGAAGTACTTCATACTTCATTTAAAGCGACAACAGAGATTTAAAATAAAGATAACCTGATGTATTAAACAAAGTCAGATAATTACTTCAAAGATTGTTTCACCATCTCTAGCCCGTCTTTTATCACACGAGGCCACATTTAGATCCTCAAATCTCATCTGATACTCGGCCCGAGTGCCTAAAGTCTGCACCACTGGAAACAACGATAAAAATAAAAGCAGCAGTTGATAAATCAAACCAGGAATAAGGAAAATCACTGCATGACCGCACAATCAACTTTCTGCATCCAAACTTGTCCTTCTGCAACCACGGAAAAAGAGAGATTGCAATGTCCAGTCAAAACCATGCCTGGAAGGAAGAGAGACACATGAATGGATAGAGGGAGAGGAAAAAGAAAAGGCAGATATAGATCTTGATATATCCTGATTTGAGTGCGGTGTATCATTTGAACAAGTGGAAGAGAGATGAAGCACATTTGCCTTGTAAATGAGCCGCTCGGTGGATGAGAGGATTCAGAGAGATCGGACAAGATGAGAGAGCGATATATATCAAAACACTATCTGTTTGTTTCATGAGTGCATGGTAACCAATAAATCAGGGTGACATGTATTTTAAATAATATTCTTTCAAGTGTATTTTTAACTTGTGTGCGACAATCAACAATCCAAAAACCTGCTAGAGACGCCCCGGAGAGGATTTGAAAGTCAAATGATCCAACAGTGTCTAACTAAATTCACTTAGAGTATGACATGGACATTGTATTTTAATGCTCTCTCGGGGGTCTTTGCTTTCACAGTCAGAGCCTGATTCTAATTCCCCGAGACTTCTTTCTTTTCATTATTTCCAAACAAGTAAGAACCCAGGGTTGAGACTTTAATATCCAGCTGGGTTCATGCACATACCTACGTTTCTCAGGTTTAATAAAGTCCAGGATAACTGCTAATATGATAATAGCTGAGCTCATATCCATCAATCCATTAGTGGACCAAAGGTCACAGACGTCTGTTGTTGTCTTCAGTATAGCCTCAAAATTAAATAAAGAGATTGCCATGAAAGCTATGACCTCCTACAGGTAGTGAAATGTTTTCAGGAATTTGACATACATTTCATTTATAAGTATATTAAAATGTTCTGTTTATTTGCTCTACTTTCACTAAGTCATGACACACACACACACTCATTGGAGGAGCAGCTCACCCCCTCGGGTGATCAGAGGCGGTGGAGGGAGGATGACTGACAGGCTGGTTAGGATTTGCATGGCTGTTTGTGTTTAAAAAGGGCTGCAGGTGCAGGATTCTCCACACAGATGAATGGATTCCTCTCCACACACACAGATGCTCAGGGACTGTTTACAGCTGCTATCTCAGTACATGTGAATTGAAGGGAGCCAAGAATGCTGCTTTGACACTTTTTGCTTTCATTTGGAAGATCTAAAACAATGCTTGCTTGTGATTAAGATGAAAATGCACAGCTGTCTGGTGTGTATTGTCACTTAAAAGGGAGCAACTGAAACAGAATTACCTTCACAATGAGGACATTTCTACCGGCTGCAAACTGATCGAAACAGGATTTTGTTGTGATGTCATCCATCATTTTTACGCTGTTCCTTCTCCTGGGATTAAAGGTCTCTGGCACAACCACTGACACATGGAGACACTGTGCAGGTAATGTACCTTTTTATTCTGCTATACCTCTCTCCTATCCTCCTTGCGTTTCTGTCCATTACCTCGACTAACTGCAGCACATGGGATGTTCGGTTAATGATTATTCTGTGAATGGTTTACGGTGTCATCTGAAAAGTTTGGAAACCCCTCCAGCTAAAAATTCTTTGGGATAATTCCGACTGTCTGCGTCTGCTTACAGTGCAGTGGGAGTGTTTGTGCGTGTAGTGTTGCGTGCAATATTAACTTAAACTGACTTCCACAAACAAGTACAGACAGTGGATGTGGTTCAGATTCCACAACAATTCTATACCCATCATAAAAAAAACTGGGTGAACGCGGCAATGGTTTGTTTGATGGCTTATTTGGTTAATTTCAAATTTTCCATTGAGAATCTTTCTTTATAACAACTCCTCCTAAATCCTTCTATAGCTCAGGCTCCACCCAGGTCCCATTTCACACACAGCAGGGGAGTGTGCTACAGCTTTTTATTGATTTATTACTTTACAACTACTGCTGCCAACCTTTTCAACCCGAGTCCCTTTAAAACCCATGCCCACTTGGGACCCCATGGTTGCTTTTTAAAATATGTATCTTGGGGCTTTTTGCCTTTATTTGATAGGACAGTGGATAGAGTTGGAAACAGGGGAGACAGAGTGGGGAAAGACTTGAGCCGGGGCAGCCTGCTTGGAGGGCTATAGCCTCCTAACCACTAGGCCATCTGCGCTCCCATGACCCCATGGCTTTTGTACGGTACACTGCATGTAGTAGTGGCAGTAGTATTCTTTTTTTTTTTTTTTAAAGAGACCTGGATTCAAAATTAAAAGTTGACGTATAGGAGTAAAACAGAAATGTCTTAATGTCTCAAAATGTTCTGTTGACAGTTTCACTATTAAAAGTTAAATTACATACAATGTTAGAATTATTTCATGCATTCATGTCTACACTGCAGGGCTCTTGTTTGCAGAGAGAGACTTTAAATGTTTTCAAACTAACAATATTTAAGACAAAAACATTGTTTTGCCCAAATTACCAAACAGCAAAACTGTTCCATAAAAAACGTAGAATATCCAAAATATTGTCAACTCAATCGCCCATCATTTTCTCTCAGCTGAATACTTGTGCTAGTTTTGTGTGCACATTCTTTTGAGTATTTTGCTTCATAATAAAGCCTTGGATGTATGTTATTCATATGTTTTATCTGCATAAATTAGAATTTGTTAAAAGTGAGATAAGCCGGTAAAATAAAAAGCACAATAGCTGACAGTGAATTGTAACAGTAAAAGCATAAAGAAGTACAAGAACCTCTTAACTGCCAAAGGAGGGGTTGATGAAATGTTCTCAGGTTTCCATTTCAAGTTTTTTAAGTTTCAATGATGTAGAAAAAAAGTAAAGAACATCATTTGGTTTAGCATATTTTCTATTTGATTCTTCTTTATTCCATTGACCATGTCAGGGCCTCCCAGAGGCATTTGGGGACCTTGCTAGCAGCTTTAAAACGTCAACTTATTAAATGTCTGGTGAACTCTGGCTAAAAGGCTTAACCAATAAAACAATCATCCCAGCATCTTTATTGCCTGCAGATTTGCTCCCTCTGGATCTTCTTTCTTTCGTGCTGGAGAGGGATCCCTCCAAACTGGTACCCGGGGTGAGCATGAGCAGGCCGGAGGGGTGAGTGGAGTCCAGTTCTCGAGCCCTCACCCCTCCATGAGCTTCCCCTCCTCCCAGCTGCTGGTCGACTGCGACCTCTTCCCCAAAGAATTCTCCTTCGTTTGACCATTAAAGTCCCTCACACTGCGACAAAGGTGAGCAATGTGTGTTTGTGACAGAACACAACAACACTGGATTCTTTAAGTGAAAAGTACAAAGAAAGTTCAGAAATAACAGCAACTAAATCTATAAATGACGTGGTCAGATTTCTCAATTTGTGGCAGATAAACCAACTGAATCGACTAATCCTTTCTGTTCAAATACCTCATAATGTGTCTGAGTGCTTTCCCCCATTTACCTTTCAGAGAAATGAATACATCTTTTCCTTACTGGAGCCAAAAAACGACGAGAAACTAGAAGGGGTGAGGAAGGAAGAGGAGAACACTAACGGACATGAAAATGGGAACATTT